TTCTCTGCTACAGGGAGACTCTGTGCTTGGGAGAGGGGAAGTATTGCCTCTTTGAGGCACCCAGGGGGTGTGTAAGATTTTCCCAGCTCACTGGGTGGGGGCTCGAGCCAGTTTTGCATTTGCTTTGATGAGAGGGAACTCCTGTGTACTGAACCCGGCCCTTGCTGCTATCAGCTTGGCCTGGCAGAAGGGTTACATTAATATTCCTGTAAAAGGAAACTATAAAGGCTTGGCAATAGGTGAGGGTATAAGGCGCCTCTGCTTGGAAGTGCACAGAATAATGCTATTAACAACAATAATGACGTGAAGAACGTTCCTTTGTTTTTGAAACTACTCATTCAGAACTTTACATCCACAAACGTATCTGGGGGGAATCTGGACATCTCCTAGAATAGCTCATTAGCCAGGGGATTTTATTCAGCACAAAATTAGCACGTTTTAGTAATCGCATCAATTCAGTTAGTAGCAGGGAACAAAAGAAATTCATTTGTATGCTTTTTAATGCAAGCCTTTCCCATCAGGAGAAATAGATGTGGAGAAGGCAATAGCAATTCCCTGATATTCAGAGAGAATCACAGAATATCAGGGCTGGAAGGGACCTGAGGAGGTCATCTGGTCCAACCCCCTGCTAAAAGCAGGACCAATCCCCAACTTTTGCCCCAGATCCCTAAATGGCCCCCTCAAGGATTGAGCTCACAACCCTGGGTTTAGCAGGCTAATGCTCAAACCACTGAGCTATCCCTCCCCCCCAGAGTATTCTTTCTGCTTTTTTGTGATAGACTGATGATGACTGGAGCCACCTATGTGACAGTGCAGTTATGGGATCTATGAAAAACATGCCTATAACTGATATTAAAATCATAGTGGAACGTTGATGGTGCTTAGTCCTGCTTACATTACTAACACAGGTGTAATCAAGGTCTACTGAGTAACATATGGCCTCTGCTATTTTTGATCTGTTCTATTCAGGTGCTTAAACCAGATCTATATCATATCTGAGCTCTAGAGATTGCAGGCTGCTTCCTTTACTATGCTCTGGGACAATTGAGCATATCATTCTTATCATTTGTAACATCAGTAGCTACAGATGGCACATTTTACCATCAGTGTCAGGGAAGAAGGGCAAACAGTTTGGGCATGTGAGTAACTCATTTTCTTTGCAAATTAAGGTTCTACATTACAGTTGTTCCAGATTTCCTGCTTTGGCTTATTAACACCTATGCAACTGGTGCTTTGCTTTGCACATCCTATGGAGTCCCTAACCAGTGCTCTCTTTTGGTTTGTGTTTGGCCTATTTCCATTATCCCATGGTGACAAGAAGAGTAAATGGAAGGAAGTGATATGGCTGCTGTGGTACATGCTGGTGTGCAGAAAGTCACACCTGTGAATATTTCTGGTGTGTGTTTGAGGAGTGTAACAGTCACAGGAAAGCCATGCTTTGGCCACTGTAGTGAAAAAGGTCTGAGGTCAGTGAGAGGAAACATCCTAGAAATGTTCAGCAGATGCCATATGCAGTAACTGGTTTGCATTTTAGCTGCATTTAAAGAAATTAAGATAAATCAGAATTAAACTGCTCTTAGGCAAACTTTACCTTAAAGATAACTGTACAGTGAATAAATAAATGAGTAGCTTGAAAAGGCTGATATCATAAAAGAGAGGACAGAAGACGATTTAGGGACTGAATGTATGCATGGCACTGATAAACATGGTACTGAGTCTAAAAGAGAATGTTCAGGAGGTGGATATATTGTTGACTGGAGGATTTAGTACAGGCTGGGTGAATAGTATTGATGACTACATATGGTCAGTAGATTGCCCTGGGGGACACTTTTTGCCTGGCTGTTGAATATAGCTTCACTGCTCATTGCAGCTGAGGCCTCACTTCTTGTAAATGACTTCAAACATAACAGGATTAGTGAGACCACAGCTTCATAGTCAGGTGAGGCTATGTTTGTCACTCAAGATTCTTCTATTGAGCCTCTGCAAACCCATCTAGCTGAGTTAACTAGGTTCTCTGGGCAGCTGTATGGTTAATGAATACAGATGATTAATGCAATATTTTTGCTGCAGCAGCAAGCTCTGGAAATTAGCTTATTGTGAAAGAAAACAGGGCTGCTTTTGTTGTGAAAAAGATGCAGAAACACTAGAATGAGGCTCTCTATTATATATAATCGGCTCAAATATTCAACTAGTATCATATGACTGAGCAGCATTAGACAATTCCAGGTACTTGGCTATCAACAATAGTAAAATGAACAATCCACCTCAAAGTCTTTGTTTCCTCTCTACTCTTAGGGTCACAGGGACCACAGACATCCCCATAAGCAGTATGCTGTTTTAAAATCACTTATTCCCTACTCATGATAAATATTACAACCCTCCCCAGATAATGCAGAACTGGGAGTGCTGTTCAAATTCTTTGCTAGCATTTTACAGATTAACTGTTGTCTTCATCCTACCTCCACAGCTGCAGTGTATAATCAGAGTGGGGAGAACAGAGCTAACCGACGCATGGAGGTAACTGTGCTTGTAATGTACTGAGTTGTATTTTGGTGTTTGTAAGATACTATTTGAAATGTTTCAGTATATACCTGTGGTGTTTCCATTGCTGGCTGTGGAAAATATTGGTATTAATTAAAAATATTACTTCTAAAACCCCATCAAAGTCATAACAGAAAACAAGGGATTTCACAGTTCAAGGGGCAACAAAAAACTTTGGGCTGGAAGCTCTTTCCAAGGCTCCTGCATGCAGCTGACATGTAAACAGCCCTGTAGGCCCACTTATAACTGCCAGCTCAGAGAACATTCTGGGAGTTGGAGGTGCATCCTCATAGCACATAATCTCAGCTGCTGTGGAGTGACCCAAAGGAGCTCTAAGAGACGGGGTCCCCTGCTGTTCTACTTTATGCTGAGGGACACCGCAATCCCTGATGAAACCCAGAACTGCGAGGTGCCAAGTTACCTTTGCCCCCTCCCCTTGGATTGCATGCTCCGGACTGCACCTCTTAGAGGCACAGCACCATGTCTTTTAAACACAGCTTTGACTCTTTGCCTTGAGCCTTCAAACAGCCCCTTTCCATTTATGGACTAAATTCCTGCTAAATTAATTTTAAAATGAAGAAAACAGAGCTTTTTTTAGAAAGAGGCCAAAGAGAAAGATAAAGCCTAAATCCACATCATCCTCACTACAGGGCAGGTGATTTTAGACCCCCATTTATCTTCATCCCAGACCAGTCTATTATCATGCTCTCTTTTTACTTTCGCAAATTGACATCAGAGGAGCTTAATCAGGATAAAGAACCTCCCCCTAATGCCCCACCTACATAATTTCATGCTTCTTTGTTTTATGGGCCTTTGTCACATATTAGGCAAGCATCACACATTGAGGTCCTAAAGGGTTAAGAGACACTACAATATCTGTGGAGAAAATAATCCCAGCTGGCTGCCAACCTGTTTGGCAGCATTTGTCTTCCAAAGAATTTTTTTCAGCAAAGCCCTTAACCTCTGAAAGTACACTGTGTTCATGAGTTGCTTACCACCTCTGCTACATCACAAGCTAATCAGTACTTCTCCAATTTACATGTTCCTCACAGCTGCTGTGGGAAAATTCTGCTTTTGGTGACAACTTTAGAATTAAATAGAATTTAGGTGTGATAACCCAAGCTATGGGAACACTGCTGCAGGAGGGGAGACTAGATGCAGTGTAGGAGTACAAATTGAAAGAACAGCTTTAGCAAAGTAGCTGTGACAGTGTTAAGGGAATCTTGCTATACTGTTAAATATTTGTGTATTTGACATTTTTCTAAGCTTACACCTTTTCAGTACTTTCAGATCCTTAATTGCTTTTGGGTATTCTTAACCTTTAAGCTAAAATACTATTTGGTATTAAATATAAAGAACACTATATTACAGTCCAAGTCCCCAAGCTGGCATTAACTTCTAAAAAGAAGGTGAATTACAGCACTGTAAGAGGTTTCTTAACCTCCAAACCCTAAAGTTACTTCATTAACAGTGTAAAGCCATAATGATATATCCCAGTGCTGTGGATAGCAATATGCTACCTTTTGAATTATCTAATTCACTCTGTTCTTTAAAACAGTTTCATAATTCTAATTTTCAAGGAAGTGTGTGAACATTTGGGGAAAGCACAAGATTAGGGGAAATCTCATGTGGATGACTTCTTAAAAGAGGGATCACTGCCCCACACCCCTCATAGTGACAAAGTGCTCATGTCCTTCTGAAGTATCTGTCATTTCTGCACTGTTTGATTTTCTTCACTGACATTCATGTGATTTGGTTGTGTAAGACAGCAGCTTCTTGTCTACAGCCTTGGAATTGTGTATGCAGCTTTTAAAAGAAATTAGACAAGCCCAGGTCTGATGACTACCCCAGACAAGGGGATGTCATAGAATCACTCCTTCACAAAACATGCACAAAAATAGTACAGAGGCAGTTTCAACAAGGTTTTGGTTTTGGGGGTGGGGTTTGCAAAAAGTGTATATTTATTCAGCTCCCTTGCACTTTCCTTCTCAATATTAAATTTTCCCCTGGAAAACACCTAAACTTTGAACATAGAGGACTAGAAATGATTGGTCCTTTAACTATTACATGGGGAAGGGTGACTACAGATATTCAAATCCTTCCATAAACCTCACTTTTTATGAAATAAGGCATCTCAGCAGATACACTCCAGTACCCTGCTCCTATTGATTTATAGGGGAGCTGTAGAAGGATCCAACACAGACCCATCCTTAGTGTATTCAGTCTCATTTCTGTTTCTTTATATAGTACCTGGGACAGAGAGCATGTCTGTCTTTGTCTGCTGGCAGCACCAATGTTACTGGACCAGCTCCTCAATTGAGGTAAAATCAGTGAAACTTCAACTTCAGTGGATTACTATGATTTACCCTAGCTAAGGACCTGGCCCATTGTCACTCCTAACTGATAAACACAGCAATCAGAAAGTAGAACCCAGAAATCTAAAGACACCAGAGATGCTATTTTTTAAAAACTTTCACAATAAAGTTTATTACATTATTTTCATTAGAAATATTATAAAATAGAATATTCTGCCCAGCAGAAAAATAATGCCAGGGTTTAAAAACCCTGGGTTTGTGCAAACAGTTTGTGTAAACATAAGAAGTCAAGTGTTCAGGTTCCATCACAAAATACAGTAAATTGCTACAAAAATAAATTTGGTCACTCCCAAATAGATTAAAAAACCCAGATGTCTTCACACATCTCTCTCTCACACACACACATGCACACAGTTAATGCTGCATTTATATCTGAAATGGGAAGGATTTCAGGTAGTCCTTTAAAACTGGATTGAGAGGGATGTGGTTTAAATTCTCTCTCCCAAATGTTGCCACAATGCTTTTCCGGCAGAGCTCCTGCAATGGCCGTAAACGGACTTTGCGTAGTGGGGTGACCAGCACCTTCCTTGGGGAGCTTATATAATGTTCCAGTAGCTTAAAGAGACAGTCGAAACTCTCCTTGCTGCCATCCAGGCTGAAACGCCCAGCCTGGAAGTTTATTCGGATGCTGGTGGGCCCAGTAACAGTCTTAACACTGATGGCAAAGAAGCAATTTTTTTGTCTGCTGTCCCTGATGAGGAAAGTGCCCTCAGGCTCAGATTTCAGCTTCTCGTGGGCCGCGCTGACAGTCAGTGGGCCCCAGTAGAAGCCACATGCATCCAGCAGGGCGCTCGCTCGGGTGATGCTACTGAAATCTGCCTGCGAGCGGAAAGTTCGGAAGTGTGTGTCGCTCTGCGCCTGCCCATTGTTGGACCGAGCCGGGCCATGGTAACCTCTAGGCCGAGAATGATCCCTTGCTGGAGGCTCAAGTCGACATCTCGGGTCTGCTGCAACTGCATTATCTGCTGCCACCTTACTGTGCGCTACCATCCTATAGACTAGACCAGCGGATGCGGTCTTCCATAGCGTCAGTGGCCAGGGCAGTGCAGCTCTCCAGCGGCTATTCTGAAATTAAAAAAAAAAAAAAAAAAAATTAGATCCACAGGGAAGGAAGAGGGAGAGAGGGGCCCTCAATCTGTGTAAATTAATGACAATCTTCCATTCACACCTCTCTGCTCCCTTATAAAATAAAGCCTTTACTCTGCAAATTTACACCCAGCAACAACTGATTAACAGCATCACTTTCTGGCTAGGTTAGCAATCCATTGCTCTTGAAACATCTGAAGGTCAGAAGTATTCAGCCAGGGAAACAGTTACAAATGATGTGGTTTTCCTACTATTAGTCATAGAAATGCATCAGATTCTGGATAGAGTTGACTGATGGGAATCTCTTTTTTCAAACGTTACTTTCTGTGTATCCTTCTCCATCAATTCCTTAATCTTGCATAAAACCACTTAGAATAAAACTACTGATTTGCTCACTTCCCTCTCCCATTTCCCAGATGTAGATGTCTGGGCTCAGACTGTATTGTTCGTTGCATTATGTGGAAAAAAAAAAGTGGCTAAAGGAAAGGTAAACTCTGCAGCTGGGTACAAATCCCCAGAAACTGGATGGAACTGGCTGAAATGAATAGGTGGCATTGTGATATTCAAACATGATTGGCAGTGCAGTTTATAACACTGCCAATTTACTCATAATTCTAAATCTACTCTCCATTCTTCAATAAACTGGAGAAACAGCCATAGAAGTCCATTTCCCACCCCTTGCTCCCTCCCGGGGGATAGCAATGTTACCACCTCACTATGCCTACACAAAGCAACCTCTATGAACCCTTAAAGCATTATTCCTCTCTCTCTTTTTTGTATTGCATGCACTTTAAGTGGCCCTATCTAAATTGCTTCCTATTGATATATCTTTCAGCACCAAGGGCCAAATTCATCCCTCAAGTAAGTCTTTAGAAATAAGCATTGTTGTACCAGCAATTTGTGTGGCCTCAAATGTCTAACCCGACAGCATGGTTCAATACATCTCTGCTGGCTGCCTTGACCTTACTGGAAAGCATAGATTTTAGAATTTATCCCTACAGTCAGTTATAGATCAGCACTGGCAGATTGCCTCAAGCTCTCTCAACATTCTCAGAAATGAATCCCCCCAGCTGTCTCACAAGTACACAGCAACATGCCAACGTAGATGAAGAGACAGCACTTAGCTGGATTCCTGTCTCTGTGAATGCAACAGTTGGACATTTTAGTTTAGTTTAGATCATTTTACTGACTGAAATAGCAATAATAAATTCCTGACATTAGCAGATCACTTAAAACAAGCGAAGTATGGGCAGGTTTTCCTTGTATGGCACATGAAAGAAACTGATGTCAGCTTTTCTAATCATTGGGTGAGGATCGCTATTTAGTATTCAAAGTTTAAAAAAAAAAAAAAAAAAGCAAGGCACTCTGAAGCTTTTCGTTTAAAACAATAAGGTTCTCTAGAGTAAACCATTCACCTCCAGGAGAAAGAAAACATTTTCTCTTTTTGGGGGGAAGGGGGATGTACATAAAGAGTTCTATGCACTTCACTGCCAGTAAGCTTGAAAACACAGCGGCTTTCCTGTGCCTCACTGCAAGGTCCCAAGGCAGTTTTTCCTACGAGCAGAAGTTTCGCCCTTGTCTCCTTGGCCAAAGTTTTCCCCATCCCGGCCCAGCTAATGCTGGTCTGTCAGTTCGCCGCTGCGCTCCACCCCAGAGGTAACTACTTTTCAAGGATGCCGCAGGATAGACACTTCGCAAACGGCTCGGGAGTCCTTTTGGCAAGCAAGGCGTTAGCTAGAGACTCAACGATGGGCAGTATTATTATGATTCTGCTACCTTATATTCCACCGATCTTTAGCTCTTTAAAAACCCCAGCGTTGTGCAGGCTCGTGAGTTCTTGCGTAAGGACCAAAGATCATTCGCCGCGCTTGGAAACTCCTTGAACGCTTCTGGCTGGAAGCGGACTAGGGCTCGCTGCGCTCCAGGCTAAGGGACACCAAAGGCTGCGCGTGGAAGCCCGCTCGGGACGGCCCTGGTAATGGCTTACAAAGACAGCGCCCCTTACCTTCTCTGCCCTGAGCCGCGGGGATCAGCTCTGCTCCTTGCACGGGCTTAGGGCACCATAAACCCGAGCTGCGAGCACGGCCGCCTTGCAAGCCCGTAGCCCCCGCGCGGCAGTGGTGCACTCGTAGGCCTGGCCCTAGGAATAGCACAACCATAATCTGCCCGCGAGTCCTGCCTAGCGCCTGTAGCAATCCCAGCCTGCCAGAGGCTGCGCGGCGCGCTGGAGCCGGACTGCTCTGCCTGCGCTCATCGCCCCGCAGTTTTATGGCTCGGGCTCCGCTCCCCGGCCCCGGCCCCGGCGGCTCCACCCTCTCCGGCTAGATTCGCAGAAAACACGTGGCCTGGCCACGAGCCGCTCACTTTCACTTTCCATCTGCGTCAGGCGGCTGCGGCGCAGGAGCGCCGAGGCTCCGGCGGGCGGCCGGGCGCGGGAGGCAGGGAGAGGCGGCCGGCCGGCCGGCCCCCATTGGTTTCGCTTCCCGGGCGCCGCGAGGGCCAGTTCCAAGGAATCCTGGCTGGCGCGAGCTCAAAGCGGGCCCCGAGCAGCCCGCCCCGCCCCTTCCCCGGAACAGCAGCGCCAGGCCGCCTGCGGGGCTGCGCCGGGGCGCGGCCGCTGGTAGCCCGGCTCCTGGCGCGCTCCAGGGGATACGGGGTGAGGGTGGGCGGGGCACGCGAGCGCCCCCCCCCTTCCCGGAGAGCCGCGGGGGGACCGGGGCTGTGGGGGCGCGGAGCGCTACCTAGCTCCCCTTCCCCGGTCAGCCTCCAGTCCGGAGCCCTGCTGGAAGCGGCCGCGGCCGGCCCCCGCCTGTGAGCGGCGCTGCGCAGGGACGGCTCCTGGGTAGCTTGATTATGCATCCTAAGCCTCTAGCCGTCACTCAGCCTCTTGCTCGGTAATAGAGATTTGGGGGGCTCGTCTCTTCCGCCGCCCACCCGGTTGCCTCGTGGCTCTGGGCAAACAGGGCTACCAGTCGCCAGTAAGAGGTGGCTAAAATGTTGGGGAAACTGAGGAAGGGGGAAGGGTGGTGGGACGGTAATAGAGAGGTGTAGTGAGGTGAGGGCCAGGCAGCTGGTGCAGGCTATGAATTTACTGGGGCGAGCACAAGGAGCAGAAGCCAAGAAAACAAGAGCAACAAGCTGGGGTGGAACTTCTAGTGTAAGGGTAGAGGGCTACTCAAAGGTAGCTGGTCAACATGGATGCCTTGGTGATTAGCACTGTCCATTGTTAGTTAATTAGTAAAAGTAATGTGTTAAATGGCATCCCAAAATGTGAGGCAATCAGGCAAATATGGGTATAATAAGGAATACAATGGCGAACCTGGGGTAGTTTTCTCTGACTCCAATAGGAGATTTGGAAATCCTCTTTGAAACCTTGCTTTGGCTATTTGCCCTAAACTATGCCAAAGTATGTCTGTTCCCTGAGCAGGCTCGGCTGAACTTGAGTTCACCCTGAGCAGGAGCTTTTTTAAGTTACTAAACAGCACCTGTTTAAATGGTAAGGATACTTTTGTTTATTTTAAACCTAACCATGTCAGAAATGCCAGCTCACCCACGGTCTCACAGAGAAACTGAGTCAGCCAATGGTTAGCTTTCATGAAAGCAAGGAAAACACAAGCATTTGACTGCCATTCCTACAGGGTACAACTTGTTTCTCCCATATGTTTTGTGGCTTTGTACAATGAGAGGTAGAAATTATGGAGACACCAGTTCTCTATGCTGAAGATTTGGGTTGAGTTTTGCACTTAAAGCAGAGTTTTAACATCTTTGGTAGGTATGAAAACTAGAGCACATTCACCACAAAATAGCTCACTTACTCTATGAGCATAGAATGAATAAACAGTGATCTTTCATGCCTGCAAAGTGCACATGCTTTGGGATGTATGCAATGGATGAAAGAGGTGCCTGGTGTTCTGAGGTGGCTGTTACCTGTTGGGAGCAATTGCAGGAGTGAGATTTTTTTTCCCCTTAATGGTAGCTGTGGTTTTCTGGGACCATACAAAAGTATGGTTTCTGTCTGACAGAAGGGTGCTGCTGTCACCCACAAATTCCTAGTCTGGGATCAATTTAAGGGAATGTGTTTTCCGCTTGTTCTGAGTGTAAATATTCCTTTCAAAGTCCATCCCCATCACAGGCAGGACTAATGTGGTGGTGATGTCATGGCTAGCAAAGAATTCAGTGTTAAACTTGGAGATTCACGCTGTGGTATTTAGACCTTGATCTTCAAAGGCATTTAGGCACCTAACTCCACCTGAAATAATTATCGTTTAGGATCTGAGCCTTAGTTACCTAAAGAGGCTCCTGGTGGTTTAGTTCCCTATTTGAATGGCATATATAACAAACCAACTCAGTATGAATTTTATGTATTGTAATCAAATATTCAAATCATCCTCTTCCAAAGAATTTCTGAGTAATTGAGCTTCATATTTGCTTTTAATGAATATTCATGTTAGTGAAGCGCAAGTGCGTTAATACTTGTGGAAAGTGAATGCAAAAGTATCAGGAACATGGTGAACTGAAATTTTCTTTTGAATTTGGATATATGTTAGTGGAAATTGGTTTGCATTGTTTTCTTAGCTGCAGTGAGCACAGTCATCACAACTAAGCTGATCTATTGGGTGACTGTCGCTGAGAATTATCTTTTATTTTTATTATGGTTGCATCTAGAGTCCCCAACCAGTATTGTGCTAGGTGCTGTATGAACCTATATAGTAAGACATGGTCCCTGTACCAAAGAGCTAACAGTCTAATTAGACCAGGCAGACAAAGGACATGAGGGCAAAGAGATGTGAAGTGACTTGCCCAGCCCCAGGGTCATACAATAGGTCAGTAGTAGAGCTCAGATCTCCTGAGTCCTAGCCAATGCCGTATCCACATAACCATGTACCTCTCGAGCATGGAGTTGGAGTGTTGCTTCTTATTTCCCCTCAGGTATGGGGAAGCTTTTGCATTGCAGCCATCGTGCAGCGTAAGAGGAAAATGTTACAAGCATCTTCCAATTGATATAAAAGCTACATGCAGCTAGCTATAGGCAAAAGAGATCAGGTGAGAGGGAGGGGACAGCTGCTTAGCTGCTGTGTGTTTTTCTGTTGCAGACTGCAGGGGAAAAATCTCTGGGGTGTGTGTGTGTGTGTGTGTAGGTACATCATCAGGCACTGGTAGAACAGCAGGCAAAGGTCTCTCCAGGAGGGAAACAAGCAGGACTGCCCAAAAAGGTAATTCAGATCTCGTGGTTCAGCAGGAGGGAATGTGGAGGTCATAGTTGGTAGCTGTGGGTCAGAGCTGGGTGAAAGAAGCAACAGAACTGCTGGTCACTCAAGTGGGAGTAGGGTGACCAGATAGCAAATGTGAAAAATCGGGATGGGGTGGGTAATAGGTGCCTATATAAGAAAAAGCCCCAAATATCGGGACTGTGCCTATAAAATTGGGAAATCTGGTCACCCTAAGTGGGAGGAAGTGACATGAGTGAGTGTACAGGCTTGGACATTGTGAAAGCCAGAGAGAGCTGCTTCCTGTGAAGGTTGGCAGCAGCCTTAGGTGATCACAGATAGCCTTGAGGGAAGGTAGTCAGAGACCCTGTGGTGCCCTCCAAATAGTTGATGATATTCTCCTATGTGACAGCCTGTGGTGGATGATAATTCATTTTGTATAGTGAAGAGCTATTAAAACTGGATGGAGATTATTCCTTCCTGACAAAGTGTTGTAGGGGGACTATTCCACTCTGGATGGAGGAAACATTACAAAATGGGCAGGTGCCACAAGTACTCCTTTTCTTTTTGCGAATACAAACTAACACAGCTGCTACTCTTTAACCTGTCAAAATGGGCAGAGTGGCCATGGAAATGGTCATGCCACCTCACCCTGCATGCTCTTTAGAATTCCTGGGGATCCTCATTCCTTTAATCACCCCTGCCCCCCAGGATCCCTCCATCATTCCTCATTCCTTTGTTCCATCACCTCTTCCCCCACTCACTCTTTCCCTCCCACAGAAGGTGACCAGATATTTAAAATGAAAAACAGACTACCGGAATCTTGTCGTTGGAGAGAGGAGTAGAGGGGATGCTCATGAGAGGGTTTGGCCTGCTGGAGTGGACAAAGTCATATTTCACCCACTAGAGCCGGGGTTCTCGCAACAAATTTTTTGGTGGCTTCAGAGTATGCCATCAACTCTTGCTGGTGGCCGCACTGTCACTTTTCCCTAAAATAATTAATTTTAGGAAAAACAAATGAATATGCATGTATACACATCCAGTTCATTGCAATTTATTTATGTAGGGATTTCTATTGCAGACTCAATAATTAAAATAATGCTGTGAAAAGTGATATTTGTACGTTTGTTAATATCACTTTTCACAGCAATTCCTGGCAAGTTAAGACTTGGATGGAGGGGTGAGGCAGTGCAGGCCAGGAAGGATGGATGCGGGGCCCTGCCACCACCACCGCCACCTCATGGTCAGAGGTATGGGTTGGCGCCTGGGTTTGGGGCTCTGTGCCCTAGGCCAGCACCCACTGGAGCTCAGGGTTGGTGCCTGCAGTTACTTGGCCAGGGCCAGGGGTCAGCACCCACTGCCATGCAGTTGGGAGTTGGTACCTGGAACCAGCATCTGCTGCTGTCTGACTGGGGCTGGGGGTCGGGACTCGGGGTGTGCGCCCACTGCTGCTCAGCCAGAGCTAGGAGTCTGTGTCCTGGGCCAGCACCCACCGGAGCCTGGGGTTGATGCCCACTGCTGCATAACCAGGGCTGGGGATCTGCACCCAGAGCTGGTGCCTGGGCATCATTACATATGGCCAGCACCTGCCGGAACCCAGGGTCAACCTCCAGGAACAGTGCCTGGGGTCAGGGGCCAAGGCTGGGGGTCAGAGCATGCGGCTGGGGTTTGACTGCCACCACACTTTGGGGCTGGCGCTTGGGGTCTGCGCCACGGCATGGGCTAGGGTTTGGCATCCAGAGCCAGCACCTGCCAGAGCCCAAGGCCAGCATCAGGGATCTGCACCCAGGGCCGGCAGCTGCTGCCGCTCATAGTTGCTAGCCAGCAGATGGGGCTGGGGGTTGGAGCGCATGGACTGGGGTCAGCACTTGGGGTCTGCGGCCGCAGGCGAGATTTGGAGTTGGTACTACATGGTCAGAGACGGGGATCGGAGCCCACTGCCACCACGCAGCCAGGGGTTGGTATCTGTAGCCCCGTGGCTGGAGCCATAGTATGAATGCATCCGGTGAAGTGAGCTGTAGCTCACGAAAGCTTATGCTCAAGTAAATTTTAGTCTCTAAGGTGCCACAAGTACTCCTTTTTGCGG